AATTTCATATTGCTAAAGGTATGTCCATGTGTCTCGGCTTCTTGGTATACCTTCTTTAACGCAGTACTCTATTCAAGGAACCATCTGAAATATCATGCATATACATCTTTGTTATGGTCACTGAATACGTATTGAATAAGGACAGCATGCATATAATCTCAAAGGGATTTTACAGGACTTTTACAAATGCTCTCCAGATGCCATCGAGTGGGTGTCGAAGATTTTGTTAGGCATTTGGATTGTTGTAGCCCTATGGAAACAAAATTAAAAAAAACTCGCATTGATTTCCAGCTGTAGATAGACTCAGATTTATGAAATTTGTGCTTTTGGCGGTTCAGCAACTTGCTATTACCCTAGCTGAAGCAATCGTTGTAGGTAGCCTCATTGAACACAAAGGCACACGGCCGCGTATTTCTTCATGCGGCAATCAAAGGTGGGTAATGCAAAGTTCTCAGTTAATTTGAGTGATCTGAGATTTCATGATCCAGCGTATCTGTCATAGCGCGATTGCCTTAATTTGTATTGACAAGAATCAACAAAGAGTCAGTCATTTCCTAAAGGATGCCTGCGGTAACAGTGATTCAGACAAACAAATATACAATATATTTGAGTTCTTCCTCCTCCTCCTCTTCCTCCTCGTCTCATCTCTTCACAGTGAAAACGTTGCGGGATGTCGTAACGGCATTCAAGTTGGATCGGATTAATGGGTGCTAACTCTTCCGCCCTTTCGATGCCACATTTTTGGAGGTCTTCCAGACGGTCGCCCATCATCGGACACTATGTTCTGACCATGTCCAAGTTTTCTGACCATCCGGTCTCATTCGCTTCGTTCGTGTGGCCCTCAGTGCACCACAGTGAGCAAAGCTGTGGCGATGTTCTGCGAGATGTTTGTTCGTAGACGATAATGCCTATCAGCTAATCAGTCCGTGATGTAAGCACGGTGTGAGCGCGCAGAGGTAGGCAAAAACAGACGGCTCGAAAAAGCCAGCTCTTCGCAATGGGATAACGTCGACTGGCGCACAGCGCGATCGGATGAGCGTGATCGCTAAGCGGATGAGCCATGACAGCAAGATCCATGCTATTTTTGCACCATTCAGTCGTCGAAGCTCAGACGGACGCTGATTCTCTGCAGCTATCGCCGCTGATTTATGCGCATTTAATTTCTTGAGCTGGTCGTGAAGTTGTTTTGAACTGGAGCAAAATTCCGGACGAAGTTGAATTTAGTAACAAATGAGTGGTAGATTGTTCTGGAAGTTTCCAGAACCACCACTGGTCATCGTCCGATCGCCCTTCAAGCACCTGACATCGTTGTTCGCCATCGCATCGATCAAATACATTGTGGTACGGGCACGACGAAAAACCGCCATGAATAAGTAGTTGAAACGGCGCGACGAAAAACGCCCTCGCCACACGTTCTCTGGTACAATGAGTAAAATTGAATGGCTACCAATTGAGCAGTTTTTGAGCCGCAGCGGACATCTCTTGCCGCCGAGTTCCATTGCGGAACTGAATGCAGGCGTGTCTCGCATTGTAAGATGCTCTTATGGGTTTTTTCCAGCCACCGAATGACTTATGCTTGGCTTCGTCCGAAAATCGCCTTGGCGGAACTTTCCTGTTTCGCTGTGCAACGCAGCGATCAACGAATTGATTAGCAGGATCATTTGCCAACTGTTGCACAAACGGCTTTCATTAAAACACTATTGCTTCGGGCACTCTTTTGTAATGTCACTAAAATTGTTCTCCAGAGTCATGTAAATTTTGCTTATTTCCGTATTTATGAACACCGACCACCATTGCCAATTGCCCTTAATGACAGCATGTGACTAACAGTTAACGCCCTTCGTACGAAAAATTGCGTGTTCTTGTCCGTTGAGTGTTCTGTTTCGTACAACTTGTAATTAAGCATTCGAGCATTGTTGCTTTACGGCTTTGCTCCCCGTCGACTTCACATACGGTGTTAATGACGTATCTGTTAGGGAATTTCATCTAGAGTAGTAAATTGGGATCGTTAATATATCAGT